CGTGTTGTAGACATCCCGTCCCTTCTCACTGACCCATAGAAGAAGGTAGCTGCATTTGTCTGCCTCCTCCTTCCCCCGAAGAGGACCAGCAAACATCAGCTCGGCGAGCTGCTTGAAGCGCCGCCATGCCTCGGGCAGGTTGCTAGAGTCCCAATCCATGCGCGGTGTGGGAACGCCGTAAGCCTCAATATCTGCACTGTCCAACGGCGAGGGATTGCGTAGAAAACCGCTACTCTGACGCTACTCTGCAGCAACACAGTGCCATCTAGTGGCTGATGCAAAACATAGAGATCAACATGTTATATTTCCTGGTTTGTTGCATTTGAGTGACATAAAGGCCAGAAATTCATTCAACTTCCTCTTATAAATTTGCAAGTTGTACAGCTATGGAAGCCCGTTTTCACCACACACAAAAAAGTATCCATGTCTTGAAATTTCGAGATATTTTTCTCAAAAGTTTGAATAGTAACTCAAAATTTTGAGAAAATAACTCGACAGTTCGAGTTATGGATACTTTTTTTTGCGTGGCAGAAACGGGCTTCCATAGCCAGCACAGTGCATATGTTTGTTGCAGGTCAGAAATGAAACCTTTTCTGATGCTGAGAAAATAAAGCGTGACTCAGTGGTGCAGATATTTGGCAGTTTTTATTTTAGACTTTGTTCTGGTTATTGTTCAGTTTCGCCTGCAGTGTAAGTGTAATTCAGGCAGACAAACACAGGTGGATTCACTTGTACAAAAGACAAACTGAAATGGATTCTAACCAGAGCATTCTGACCAGTCTACCTGGTGATAGGTTTACCGCAACTGATGACTTGTTCAATTAAGGTAAATACAACCACGTCACTTATGAAGAAGACACACAGCTTATCATGGTATAGTTTTAAAACATCTAAAATCACTCTTTTTGTTAATTCATTTGCTAGATTAGCTGCTAGCATACCCACTTTGTTTGAGGCTTTTTGCTAGCTAGTTAGCAACACTACACACCTGTTACTCTAGTAGTCTGTATTTTTTAATGACTCAGCACTCCTTAGCTTTTGTTATCCATATTTATAAAGAGATGGCATTAGCTGTACACTCCAGAGGCCCAGAGTTACTGTTAATATTAGAAATGTAATGCTGTCCTTTATGATTTTAAGTTTAGGCTGAGGATGATCTAAAACTGAAGATTTTAACACTTTTAGATCCATTACAGTTATAGAGCACTTTGCAGCCTGCTAACATGGAAACTACATAAAAATAGCAGGTGGTTTCATAAAAGTGTAATTTATTCTTTTCATTTAATTTAATAATAGAGTCTACATTATTAACAGCTAAACTCACCCTGGCAGAAAAATGGTGAGGAAAACCATCAGGACCAAGCTGGGTTTCCTGGGTCCAGAGATTTGGACAAACTTTCTCCCTTACTTTCATAACAGCTGTCCTGTGCCAGATGTTATATTGAGTCATTGAGAGGCATCAACATCAGTATCGACTACAATAAAGTTTAGCTGACGTATTGATGTAATTAATAACAGGAGTCCAAGTAGGAAGTGATGGAAATGACAACAAAGCAAGGTCAAAAAGTCTTTATTCAACCACGAGTCTGTGCTCAGCCATGGTTGTTACCATGGTTACCTATCAATCCCATCATGATGCTGCGTGTTGTCAGGGAGACAGTGGGGCAGGGTTTCTACAAATAAGACTTAATTACTCAAAACATCTGTGAATGATGTCTGAACTACATTTAATTTACATTTTTCTCTTTACAGAAAGAATTCAAACACTGTGTGCGCGTGGGCTAAACGTCGAGGACGTAGGTCTTGTAGAGGCGGTTCATCTGCTCCAGGAAGATGAAGGTGAGGACGGTGTGCGGGCCGAGGCGGGCATAGTACGGAGTGAAACCTTTCCACAGAGAGAAGAAGCCCTCCTTCCCCACCACTCGAACCAGCACCTCCTGATCATGACACAGATAATTCAGTCGGTGCCCAGAATATAAACACTTCTTACCGGAACAAGTTATATTAATTATTATTATATTAATTCAGGCTGAACCAGTGTTCAGCCTGTATTAATATAACTAATTAATATAACTTGTATATCAGTCCTCTCACTGGCCACTTCATTAGGAACACCTGTTAAACTTCTTTGACTTATGTTTTATCAGCCAATCACATTGCAGTGACTCAGTGCATTTAGACATGATGCCCGTGCCCATCCTGTCATGACCACATTTCCTGATTTCTGCAGGATAACACATGTCAAAAAGCTCCATTCATCTCCAACATAAGAAAATAAGTTCACTGTACTCAAATGGAGCATCTTCCTCATCAAGGAGCAACTGACAAACCTGCAGCAGCTGTGTGATGATATGATGTTAATATGGAGCAAAATCCTCGTTAAATTTATTAAGATTTAAAGAGTTCTGAAGATAAAACTTGTAACTAGCGATGTGTACCTAATAAAGAGGCCTGTCAACGTGTATTGGAGATTGTCAGAAAATGATTCTCTAAATCTAAATGTTACACAAAGAACATCAAAGATACAGAAGTAACCTGTACAAATACTTCAAAATCACAGTATTACCAGGAACAATATTGCATTTATTCATCAGCTCATCTGCTTTCAGAGCATTATTTAACTTTCATGCTAAAAAAA